AAGAATAAGTACATGAGCAGATCTTGTATCTACAGAGGAGAAAGGATGCAGGACAATTATTGGGTGAGATGAAACAGCATGCAAGGAAAGTAAGAAAGGAGGAGGAATCCAACATCTTTCACAGACAGAGTGAAAAGAAATGTCCCCAGGTCTCCAAACACACCCTAAAGTTAATGTATATACACTCTGTAAACTGGGTGTTAAGTCCTATGGCCTAGAGTAAAATCACTCAAATTTGGCAGCACATTTTCTAAGGAACTGGCTTTTGATCTTCAAGATTTCCCTTGATACAGCAGCAGTGGGTCATACATGGATACCACAGAAAACCTGAGTAAATTCTTCACTGTCTTGTATTAGAATCCTGAGAATCCTGTATATATCCCTTATTGTTTCAGAGATAAATAATAGTAAAATCTGGTAGTAATAAATGTAGAGGAATTGGAAACCCTTTAAAAAAGTCCATATCTACTAAGGTTAGAAAACTGGGGGGAATTAGGAAGACATAGTGAGAGGCATGCAAGCAAAATGAAAAATGCATATCAGTCTCAATCATGATTTTTGTCTTGGATTGATGCATAATCCAGAAATTATCCATATTTCTTTGTGTTAGGTCCTTTCCAATTTAGAATTGGAATTCTTTAAATTGGTGACAGAGTAAATGCACAAACGTATCTTCCCTAGCAGGTGTGTGGTATCATTACAAAAGGGAAATTGTTTGGGGGCAAAGGAAGAAACAAAATGAATGAATACTGTCTGTCGTTTGTCAGTCTTATTTATGCCATGTTGAAGCCTTCATTAAAATGTTAGGCTGCAATTAGATGCTCCAGCATAAATCTGACTCTGCAGAGAAACTAATTAGACATTTAGGTGATCATTCTTGTATTTATCTTGTTTGCTGCAATAGCATGATTACACAGTAATTTACATATTTTTTCCTTAAAAGATACACAAAATTATTCATTACAATTGATATGGAAACACTTGATTTTTTCCAGTGGAAGAATTCCATTATATTTTGTGGTTGAGAGATAATAGATTTAGTTTGGACTAGAACATTCATCTCAGTTGCAAACACTGGCTACAGGTACATGATTTCCCTATTGAAATCTGTAATAGTGGTGATATAGTCTAGGCTTGTTTTTTCTGCTGCTTTGTAATATCACTGAATTAAGATGTATATCAACTCTTCCCAAGTGTTGTGTGGTAGTTAGATTGTTGAACTGGGGACCTGGGAGAGTCATGTTCTAGTCCCCACTTGGCTTCTGGGTGACTCTGGATTCGTAACTCTCTCTCACCCTTACCTTCTTCACAGGTTTGTTGTTGTCAGGAGAAAGTGGAGCCGGGTTCCTCACAATAGGAAAAGGGGTGAGATAGAAATGCAGGATGAGGAAGAGAGAGCAGAGTCCTCTGCTTCCTAACCATTTGATTATCTTATTATTGAATGAAAGTGTGCACAGGACACAATGCAGGAACCTTGCTCTCTTTTCATTGTAAAGGCCATGGCTAGGAGTTATTAGTTATCAGTGTTACTAATCAAATATGTTCCACCACAGTCACTTGTTTTTTCATTATATTCTTCAAATAATTTAACAATGTTTATTCACATCCTCCCAATTCATGTATTGCCAGTCAGGCTGGCATACTTCATGTTTCCATGTGGTTTTCCATCCAGATCCTAACCATACTCAGATCTGATTATTTCTGGCACAATTGCTGTACTGTGTGTCCTCAGATTGTGCCTTTGTTAGATTGGAATGCTATAGTAATAGCAAAACTGCATGTTACGGGAGAGGTGCAATTGCTTTTGCTCAAAAGTAGCAAGTCAGTTTTCCTCTGCTCCCTCCCTGCAATACATATTAATATTTCCCCATTCCCTGATGTTCTTATCTGTATTTTTGCTTGCAACAGTTCAACCCATGGTTTGGGACAATATGGACCAACTGTCACATGCTTTGTAGATGAGAACTCAATAATGGGATATAATTTATGTAGCAATCCTTGTGCTACCTCTGCCCTAACAGTGTGAGGAGCATTAATTTACCTCTGTTCCATTGATAGTGGCAATCCATGTTGCTGGTACAGTGTTACTTCCATATTAGTATTTTGTGCTGATGCTTTTTAAGACAATGTGACTGGTGGTAATAGTGGTTTATGGACCTACAGAGTTCCAGGCTCTAGTAACCAAGCCACACACCTAATGTGTGCATCTAATGAAGATAAGGGAGTGATGCATACTTGAGCAGTTTTCCTTTTTCCTATATGTTATTTGAAATCCCCTTAATCAATCACATTGACATTTTCCCCTAACATGTTTTCAAACCTAATGTCTAATTTAACAATGAGAGGAGTAAAAAAAAGTTCTTTTCTGTGTTTATCTGGTGCAGTCAGTCTTTAAATCCATTTCAGTGGCTTTATGTTTGTCTTAAAACAAGAAGATTAGTACTGTCTGCTCACAAGGGAACCTGGAGAAATTGATATATTCATGCATTTTTTTCATGTCACGCATTTTCTAGCACAGAGCTGTAGATTTGAGATTCACATTTGTCAGAGATGAGGGCCTGAAAATAGAGACTGGAATATCAACAAAGTCTCCTTTGATTTTTAGGAAATAAGTAACTCATTTTATAAGTATGTCAATCCTCAATATTGTATCACAATATGACCAAAAAAGCAGAATACAATGTGGAGATGTGCAGATGAAGGAGTGTGATTATGCAGATAAGAATATGCTCAATTCCCAAGTAAATATACTGCCACTGCAAAGGATTTAGGGATACTACACCAGATAAGCACAGAAGAAACTGTCCTCTATTGTTTGAAATGCACCCCAGCAATGTACCTCAATATGTACCTATTTTCTTCAGTATGTGAATGGCTGCCATTGCTTCCTATGGATAAAAGTAAATCTCTACCCTTAGACACAAGCATTCGAGACCAATTCTCCCACCATCCCCAACACTGAGAGCAGAGGAAGTGGTTGAGAGCATGGGTCTAGGATTCAGGGGACCTGGGTTCTAATCCACTCAGCCATGGAGCTCACTGGGTGACTTTGGGTCAGTCAAAGACTCTCAGCCCAACCCTCCTCACAGGGTTGGAAGGATAAGATTATGGAGAGGAGAATTATGTAAGCTGCCTTGGGTTCCTTAAGGAAAAAGGAGAATATAAATATAATAATAAATAAAGCATTCATGAATGTGATCTTGGGGTGGAGACTGTTAACACCCATTGTGTAATCTCCCCCTAGTCATTGCAATATACAGCCAGTCCTTCCATGCTTCCCACACCTGTAAAATACAAACTATACCACTCTTGTGTACTGACAACTAGTAAACACTTCAGGTTAAGTCCAAAACCTTGCATTTTAGCACAGTCTGCCAGAATGAACACCAAATTAATAGGGAGACCTTCTTTAAATGTCTTCAGAATGCCATCTGTACTCAGCAACTGATATTTAAACTGGTTTGTTAATTCGACACAAATTAAAGTGACAGAAGTAACAGTTTGGCTATTCATATCCCCCTGAACTCAGGATAGGGGGCATCCAATATGTAGGAGGATACAGATGCAAGGATTGCTTCTGAACACCTCCTGCCCTGCAAAAGACATAGATGGCAGATTCTGGAAACCCCTGTTTTTTGCCCTGCTCACAAGGAGAAGAGATGAGGCACCTCCAGGATTCTTCATATCCTAGTGGAGCCTGACCACTCCCTTTCCTGCTCCCTGAAATGCCTCCTGTCACTGACTCCAAAGCCACACTGGTGACCTTGGAACTGCAGCCAGTGCAGAAAAAACCTCACTGGCCACAAGGGCAGAGAAAGGATACTGTATGGTCAGAGTCCAAGTACCAGCCTTAAATGCATTGCACCTTAAGTAGCATATGTGGAACATTGTATGTGGGCATATGCTTGTATACAAAAGGTTTACAATCTATGTAATAGGGCTTTTGTGGGGAAAGGAGAAACCAACCAGAAACTGCAGCATGGAGGCGTTATAAGTCATTAGTAGACAGTATGTTTTATATACAGAAGGTGTCGTGTTTGATTGTCAATATCTCCACTGAGCGGAATCTCAGTAAGACTGGGAAAGATGTCTGTCTGAGGGCTTGGAGAGCTACTTATTCTTATGAGCCACACATCCCAAGCAATGCACCCTCCCTGAGACCCGTAGCACAGTGTTAGTTCCTATTTACTGCTGCCAGTAAAAGTTATGAGAAACAGCGCTTGGAGAAACAGCACTGGACTACAACCCCACAAAGCACATAGAGCAGAGCAGTCACACCTGCCCTTCTTGAGCACTCCTCTCAGTGGCATGTATTTTAGCAGTTTCAGTATGAGTCTCAGTGGGTCTCACCGTATTTCTCATCAGCTGCTTTACTCTTCATCCTGCCTCAAGGTGCCTACCCCAGAAAGGGGAGAGCTTTTCTGTGGAGGCCCCTCATCTTTGGAATAACCTTCCTGCTATAGCCCACCTGGCACCAAATTTGATTTCTTTTGGGCTCCATGTCAAGACAGCCCTCTATCTTTAAAGATCTCCTTGGCTACCCAGGGGCCTGCAGCAATTGTTTCTTCTTTACTGGTCTTTTTCTTGGTTTATAAGCTATTTTAAATTAAGTTTAAATTCAATTTAGCATTGTCCTTTTTATGATATTTGTGCTGTTTTTATTGTTTTGTTTTACACATTGTTGTAAACTGGCCAGAGAGCTTCCGCTACAGGGCAATATGGAGATGATGATGATGATAATGTATCAAAACATAAAATGCTAGATTAGATGGGCCAATGATCTAAATCATTACACAGTAATATTAGTTACTGTTGTTGGGTCTGTGTCCACATAATAAAGATTGATTGATTGATTGATTGAATATTAGTTACTGTTTCTAACTTCTGATCGTTCTCATCCCTGTTTCTCATAACATAATATTTGCTTGATATTTTCTTAAAATATATATTTTTAGAAGGAAATTGTTACCATCATTTGTTGAACTTTTCTTCCTTTGCAGATGAATGGCTATTTCCTGACAAGGAAAGTTCTCAGCTGGATTCCAGCAATATAACATTGATGACTTGTGAAACATCTTACAGCTTTTTAACTTCAGGACTGAATGATGACCAAGCCCATGAAAACAAGCAAGCAGTTGAAGACCATCATGAAGATATTTTCACCTATTCCTCTAAACCCAGATCAGCACCTCATGGGAAGCCCTTGAATCTTTCATTGGAAGGCTGTAGCTTTCCTGTGGATTTAAGAGAAAACATAAGCGGGCGAGGAGCTCAAATGGAAGATGATTTCTATGGAAATGAGAGCAATGAAGTAAGTCACTTTGATTGTAGTAATGGCTTGCTGTTATTGTACTCCATTGCCATGAATGAGTGGGTCTTTGAAACTAAAGCCCCTTTCATTTCACATGTAAATTTTGTGTGAGAATCTTTAAGTAAAACATCTTGATTCATACTTCTTGGACTGTGACACAGATTGGAACATTGCTATCTTTTGGTTTTTGCACTCCTTCAAATTATCCAGTATACTTTCTGGCTTAATAAATGTATCTAAATGCAGATAAAATATGTACAAAAATATCCACCTGTATCAATCTGCATGAATCATCTCAAGACAGCAAAAAGCAAAACAACAAATACCATAAGAAACATATCAAAATATTGAAACTTTAAAATAGTAAACTTAATATCAGGCTGACATTAAAGATGGAACTAATGACCATGTGACATTGTCTGAAGTGCCATAGAATAGTTCAGATTTTGAGGTCCAAGACAGCGCACCAGCCTTTGAGCTGGGAATGAAAGGTCTGATTTTGCCCTGCCATAGCCGATCTGGAAAGCACCATTTTAGATGATCCCCAAATTTAAGAAACTGATCTGGGAGAAGAGTTAAATAGTGTGTTTACAGGCCAGGAAGGGAGAAGTCTGTAATAACCGGGATACAATGTATCCTGAAGCCAGTGAAGCTTCTTCCTCTCCCCTTTGGGATGCCATTACTAGGCAGCTGAAAATGGGTATCTATTGAAAATAGAGGGAGGACAAGAAAGTGAAGATTGCATCCATCACTCCCCCCATTCTGAGTAAGTCTCAGATTGGAGACTCATGTTCATCCCAATCAGATTGCTCTCTAAATGCTTGGTGGAAGAGGAAGATTTTAACCTGGCATTTAAGTGTATAAAGAGAAACTACGTGATCATCAGCATCATTCATTCATTTCTGTACCAAAGCTCTCTGGATGGTCCCCAACATTAAGTCACCCATCCTGATTTCAAGGAAGCCTGACCCTGCCTAACTTCCAAGATTAGGTGGGATCAGGCAGTTCCAGCTATGCAGAAGCTCTGTCTGTGTGTGCATGTGTGTGTAAAAGTATAGTATTAGTTTGCACCTATAACAGGTAGAATTTGATCTGCTGTGTGACATACACAACTGAATTTGATCTGCTGTGTGACATACACAACTAAAGAAATACCTTGATGCTAATAAATATCTCTTTTGAGATTTTCCAGTATCTGCTCAATTAAAATAGTTTTGCAACTCTTATGTAATGCCAATTAACAGTAGAGAGGCTTGAGATAAATTTACACAGCTTTCAGATGTTAAGTACTTTTGTATTTTGCCTCTGTCTGTTTTTTTTTGTTGATTGATACAACCCCTTTCTAGGCCTTGAAAAATGAATAATTTCAGTTAATTCATGCCTGCTGTTTTAAGGTTGCATTGTTTTATAGATGAAATGGCAATAATGTAGAATATGTGGTTTCTTTTTTTCATAGTGTTTTTCAAAAGATTCCAGTAGCATAGACTATTATTCCTTTAAAAATAATAGGTGATATTTGCATGGTTGTGATTAAGGGTTTTTAATATTTAGCAATGTGAAAAATATTGAGTTTCCAAGATGACTGAGAAACAACCAATATCTTAACTAAAAACATAAACTGCTGCTATAATTACAATAATTCAGCAGATTGTAATGTCAATCGACCATTACATCAGGTTGTTATGGTAACCACTAAGTGTCTCTGCCTTTATTAACATTCCAGACTCTTTCAATTCTAATTATGAAGATCATTTCATATCATTTTATTCTTTTGTATTGACTAAGAAATGCATGGTTTTGTTGCACCCAGAAAGATTAAACTTTTTTGCTAAAAATGTGACTCATTTCCTTGAGAACATTGCATTGTGGTTGCCAAATGTAACTAACAACTAAGCTCTAGCCTTTCTATATCTACTGTATACAGGTAGTCCATGAGTTACAAATGTCCAGGTTACAAACAACTGATACTTACAAATGTGCAGACTGCCATAAACCCTATATGAGTATTGCAAGTGGAAAGCCATGATTATCTCTAAGAAACTACACAACACATTTGGTAATGCATCTCTTTGGTGGCTGCGTATTTCCATAGAGATACAGTGCTCATGGCTTTTCATTCTACTGCATTGACTTACACATACAGAAGTCAGTGTGTTTCAGGGCACATGTAGGGCCTCAAGGATGAAACTAAACCACAACAAAACAATTTCTGGGAAGGGCAGAAGCAGAGGTACCCAAATGACTTCTCCTTACTCCTCTGTTGCTGTTGTTGTTCTAAAGCTTGTAATTATGTTTTTATTCATAACTTTCCAATCCATCAGGTAACGCTAAGTCTCACATTAACTGAAGATGATGGAGAGGGACCTGATTCTGGAGAGTCAGGGTTGATTGTGCTGCTGGAAAGGCAGAGAAGTGGTTACCACTGGAGGTGCTTTCTTGAAGTAGCCATCAAGGATTGTTTGTACAACCATTTTTGTTTTCTTATCATAAATGGCCTTGTAGCAGCTGGGGGCCTCGTGACGAGGGCAAATGCAATGCTAAAGGGGAACTGGACCAGTATTAGCATGCCCATACTACAAATAGGAAAATGATGCTGAATTGACAGCTGAGAGAGAGCAAACCAGAACCTGTCTAAATACAATTTGGGCAACAGGCCTGCAAATATTACCTAATTGTATAAAAAGAAAGAAGGAAAGAAAGTGCTAATTATTTTCTGTGTTTTGTTTTAGATTTGGTTTTGTTTGGAACTGTGGCATTTTTTTGTTCGTATGGTTTATTGTAAATTAGCAGAGCAAGTCAGAGACATATTCAGAAAATGAACAAACAAAAAGAACAAACAGCATATAGACTTTAAAATGCTCAAAATGCTTCATATTCATGATCTTGTTATAATCTATGCAGCTCTGACTCTATAAGATACTTGTTCGAAATAATGTTCTAAGTTGTTTTCAGAACTGTTTCTTTTATTTGGTTTTTATTTGTTTTTTATTTGTTTTTTGGTACTATCTACCCACACACATCCATACAGATTCTCTCTCTCTCTCTACACACACACACACACACACACACACAGAGCAATACGCAATGCTGTATTGTGTATAAGATATTTTAGTGAATATAGAAGTTTTTTTTATATATGACTAGAAAGGTAAAATATATACTAAGACAAACATTTAGCTTACTCATGTGACCCAACTTACATACAATTCAACTAAAGGACATTCTCAGGAATGGAGCTCATTCTTAACCCAGGGACTACCTGTTTTTGTTTGTTTGTTTTACTTTATGTTAGGTTTCCTTATTTTCATTATGATTATAGGATTTCAGGATTAAGTCAATTACAGTCCTGAACAGTCTTGGTCATTGCTACTATATATAGTCTGTTTTCAGAACTCTTTATTATAAGAATGTAAGAACCAGGCCAGACGAAAGGTCCATCCAGTTCAACATACTTGTCATACAGAGGCCAACTAGCTGCCCCAGTGGGAAACCAACAAGCAGGACATGAGTGCATCAGCATCCACCTGCCCAGGTTCCCCCCAACAACTGGCACACACAGGCATATCACCTATGCTATTAGAGTCCTTATGGTCATCAGGAGTAGTAGCCACGGAGAGCTTTCTCCTCCATAAAACTGTCCAGTCTCCATTTAAACCTATACAAGCTGGTGGCCATCACTGGCCATCTCATGAAAAGAGAACCAGTGTGGTGTAGTGGTTAAGAGCATGGGACTGGGACTCAGGCGATCTGGGTTCTAGTCTCCGCTCGGCCATGGAGCCAACTGGGTGACTTTGGAACAGTCACAGACTCTCAGCCCAACCTACCTCAGGGTTGTTGTTGTGGGGATAAGATGGGGGAGGAAATGTAAGCTGCCTTGAGCCCTTTGTAGGAAAAAGGCAGGATAGAAATCGGAAAAAAAAAAGGAATTCCATATGCACTGTGTGAAGAAGTCCTTCGTTTTATCTACCATCAATCAGCTTCACGGATGACTCTGAGCTCTTCTATTATGAGAGTGAGAAAAATGCCTTCCCTTCTACTTTCTCCACGCCATGCATAATTCTGTACACTTCTATCATGTCTGCCCTTGCTTATCCTTTTTCTAAGCAGAGTATTCTCAGCTGCTGTAGCCTTTCCTCACAGACAAGTTGCTGCAACCTCTTGATTAATTTAGTTGCACTTTTTTGGTACTTTTTCCAACTCTACCACATTTTTTTTTAGGTACAGGGTTAGAACTAAAACAGGACTATAAGTGTGGTCGCACCATAGTTTTTTATAAGGGCAATATGATCTTGGCAATTTTACTTTCATGACTGAGAAGGAATTTGCTTCTTTTTTTTTTTTTACAGCAGCCACATACTGGATCAACATTTTCATTGAGCTGTCCATGCAACCCCAAGATGATCAGTAGATCAATCTGCTAGCTCAGATTTCATCAGCTTATACTTAATCTTGGGATTCTTTACTCCAGTGTCCATTACATTACTAATTACACTTGCTTACAGTGATTGAATTAAAATTTTCTTTTTGTCAATTATGCTATGGAAAGATGACCAGTTCCTGAAAAGAAAACAGCCTTAAGGACCACAGAAAGGGTTTCTTTCCTTACAGATATTTCTCACTTCATGGTCTTTCCCATTTGACTTCTACTTTGATGTTTTATTGTCAGTATAAAAGTAAAACCTGAATTGGGTATGCATTGTGTATTTCCCATTCAACATGAAAAATCCATTTTCTGCACTTAAATCTGTCACAAAATTCACATAGTTGTTCACACCAACAGGGACCGCCCTATGTCACAGAAAAGGTACTAGGATGAAGAAAGTAATGGAGAATCCATGTTTTAGGGACTTCATAAGAATCTTGATTTTTCTTTTTTCTTTTCTTTCTTTTAAGAAGCAGTCAGACTACTTTTAACCTTTGAGTCTGCAAATCTTCATGCACACTCAAGTTGATTAAAATACACAGGGCAGCACAAATAACCAATTCCTCCTCCGTGTGTT